GCGGGTTTAGGAGGAGGGACTTTATCCATTGGATTGCCAGAGCCATCACTTGGGTGCCCGGGTCTATGATGCCCTGCCCTTCTTTGGATTTTGGTTGAATCACTGATTGCCAGGCCACCCGGCTGATGGCATTCTGACACTCATGATTCCCCTCCATAAGTAGGCCACCACTTGTCGCCGCAGGGAGCTTAGACCCTTTTTACTGAGTGCCCATAGGGCCGACCGGTACCACAAGGCTGCCAAGATCACATTGTTTATGACCAGTGATCGGCCAAACAGTGAAGTATGTTTGTCCTTCCACTAGGTTAACTTTCTAATCACCGGATTGATGATCCACTCGTCGTTGGTTGTAGGCTTCCCTTCTGCTGACATGGATACCCCCAGCACTCTGATCGAGGTCTTCAGGGGCACCCATTTGATTTGTGGGTTGTCTGGGGGTCTTCCCCCTTGGTAGTGGACCCACCAGCCCAGCGTCTTGTTACCCCAGTTGACATTCATGTCCGAGAGGTTGCAGAATCTATCAATTAATGCCTTAATTTCTATAAGGTTTTTTGTCGATGCCTCGACCATTAGTGTCAGATCGTCCGCAAACAGGGAGCAAACAGGCACCGCTTCCTCCGGGATTGAGGCTATCTTGATCTTTTGTATTTTTTTGTGGGCTCTCAAGTTCGCCGTCAATGCCTCAACCATTATCACAAATAGGAAGGGTGCAATTGGATCCCCTTGTCGCACCGATCTTTGGTGGCAGATCTCTTGGGCTAATGAACCGTTTATTTGTACTCGAACGGTGGCGTTTTGGTGGAGGATTCCAATCCACCTTCAGAAATGGGGTCCAAAGTTTAGTTTCTCTAAACATTTATCGAGGAAGAACCAGTCCACGTGGTCGTATGCTTTCTCAAAGTTTATAAAGATAATGGTTGCATTATGTTTGAACTGTCGAGAAAGCTTGATTATCTCATTTACCACAAGGATATTATCCTGGATTTTCCTTCCTTTGATGAAGACTATATGAGAGGGATGAATGATATCCTCCATTACATTTATCATTCGGTTAGCTAAAGCTTTTGCTATAGTTTATACACCACCGTTAGGAGAGCAATAGGGCGGTAGTTTCTGATGTTCATTGGGTCCCCCTTTTTGTATAACAGAGTGAGTATTCCTTGTCTGACAAACTCCCCCATATGTCCTGTGTTCCAGACTGCGTGATAATAGTCCATCAGGTCTTGGGAGAGATGGCTCCACTGGGATTCCCAGAATTCTTTTGGGAGTCCATCTACTCCCGGGGTCTTCTCCTCTTCCATTTGCATTAACGCAGTCCAGATCTCCTCCCTTGTAAGAGGTAATTCCATGAATTCTTGTTGTTCCTCTGTGAGTTGTTGTTGGAGGGGTTGTAGGAACTCCTCAATCTCCTCTTGCTTCTTTGGTCCCATGGTTGGTGGGAGCAGTGAGAGCTGAACAAGTCTTGGAAAAAGGATCGAGCTATTTGCATGCAATGTGGTGTTGTGGTTGATGTTGTTGTGTGGTCTTGATTTAGTGCTTCTATGGTGGTTCGTCCCGCCCTCGCTTTGGCCATAGCAAAAAAAATTGTGCCCATGGCTCCTTCCATTCTGTGACGACCACGTATGCGTGTCCCCTGACACCGCCTTTCAATGTAGCCTATCAGTTGGTCTTCCAATTCTTGGATTTGTTCCAGGAGTTGTCCCTCCACGTCTTGCAGTTCCTGATTTTCATCCTGAGAACGTAGCTGTTCCAATTGGTATTGCAGCGTCATTTCCTGTTGGTAACGGTGAGTTGCCTGTAGTTTTGAGAATTCTTTGCATTTTCTGGCCAAAAAGGTCAGTCCGTTATTAAACCACAGAATGTCGTCTTGGAAGTTCTCACGGTGGGATCTCCAGTACGTCCAGACATCTTCAAGATATTGTTGGAAGTTATCCTGTGCGAGTAGAGAGGTATTTAGTTTGTAGAATCCGGACCCTTGGTCCGTTTTTTTGCGGAAATACATTATAACCACACACATTGCGTGATCCTAGCCCGGAAAGGGGCTCCGTGGAAAGATCTCTGCCACTTGAAGGGCCCTTTCCAGTTCTTCGGACAGTAAGATAAGCTCGATGCATGATTTTGTGGCTCTGTGTATTGCACCCTTACGAAAGCATGAGAACGTTTTCCGTGTTGGGAAGGTCCTTCGGAAGGAATCGAAAAGGTTCAACGAAGCGCACAAGTAGCTGATTATTTGTTCATCCATGCCAACAGGGGGGGGGGGGGGGGGGTCGGGTATTCTCCATCTATCCATCCCTTTTTCCGGGGCTGCGTTGAAGTCCCCTGCAATAATGAGTGGGACCCCATTTAGAATGTGAGCTCGGATAGACTCAAAGAAATTCCTCCTACTACCCATATCATTCGGGCCATAGACACAGAGGATAGAGATGAGTTCCACTTCTAGCATGGCCACGATAAACACCCACCTGCCATCTTCCTGGTCCGCCACCCAATAGACCGGTTCTGCTCTCGATTCTGGCAGGAGCCAGATGGCCACTCCGGCGCTACCGGCTCTCGGGGAATGGGCCGGAAAGGCTTGGTACGGCCATATCTCCTTATGTGCATGGTTGTGATCTGGCGTATTCATTAAGTGAATTTCCTGTACACATGTCACATCTGGTCACTCTCTACCTTCTACCCCCTTTAGTTGTTCCCATATTGTTTGTTTCTTCCGGGGGTTGATAGTGACCAGCCCATTTACATTCAATGACCGTAGGTCCAGGTCTGCTTGTCGTTTTCCTTTGCTCCATTCCTTATTCTTCCCATAAATTGCTTCGATATGGTTCATTTTTGTTTCATTTTAGTTTCCTTGAGATTATCGTTGTTTCTTTTTTTAAAGGTTTTTCCAGTAAGCCGAGGTCCAGTCATCCGTCCCCTTCCAGCGTCCCGTCTTGATAGCTCTGAGAAGCACGGCCCGTATGTCTGATTCCGACCATGTGTCATTCCCTTTGAGTTTTTGCAGTTGGGTATCTAGGAGTGCATTGTGTGCGAGCCATTTGAGGCCTGCCTCTTTTGAGGGCTCAAAAAGAATGAAGATCTCTTTGCGTGAGATCTTGTTTGTGCCCCAGGTGTTGTTCCAGGTGGTCAGCGCTCCCGGTTGGTATTCTCTTTCAATGAAACCCCTCATGAGAGTTTCATGCAGTCTATCCATCCCCGGCCCAGCAGGGATAATGTCATACCAACCTTTCAGAGTCATTTTCCCATATTTGGCTTGGGGGGGCTCTTAGAGGCCAATCTCCCAAATCCCATCCTTCTATCGAACGGGAATCATCAGATGTGTGTCTGAACGCAGTTGTGGTGGGTTGTGTCCTTTTTCCAGTAGGCGTCTGAGTTTTTGCCTTTTACTCGTGATCTCGTCTTCTAGCGGGTCGGGCGGTCGAGTGGAAATTGCTTCCGGTTCCTTCTTATTTCCTCGTCGTTCCGTGTCCGTGCCTATCTCCTGTTGGAGTTCCTAACACTGTGTAGCTTTTTGGAAATCCGGTTCCGGGATTAGTATCTGGTTGCCCCTGATATCCGCCCCCGCCCCTTGTGATTTGTGTTGCTAATTTGCTGTCTCCCCCCGTCTCCTCCCTCCGTATGTCCCTGGTCTTCCTTTTCTGTGCTATCGTCCCGTGGGGGGTGAAAGCGGTGTAACACAATGGTAAGCAGCCGTTGGCATATTTCCGGCCAGTCTGTCCCCTGGGGTAGGCCATGAACAAGCACCGTTTTCAAGGTAGGACTGTTGTCTAATAAAGCGACCAACTGGCGGTAGGTGTCATCCCATAATTTAAATCCTACAATGACGGAATTCTCCGTCCCACCAACTGAGAGCAGTCTACGACAAACAAAAAAGAAAACGTCAATGTACACACGAGGAGTCATTGACCCAATCACATCACCACCCACTTTCGTCGCCACGAGGGTCAATCGAGACCCAGCGCATCGACGACGGTCCGAACACGACCACAACGACGACGGAAAGGCTCACACTTTCGCGCCATCCACATCCATGGAAGCCACAATGCGCACAACGAGGGCGACACCAACTCTAACGCTCACGAATGGCCTTCGCTATCTCCAACAGAGCATGGCACATCAGTTTGTTGACTTCGTCCGACGCTGAATAGTGTTTTTTTTGCACTTCAACCTCCGCTTCCAACGCTTCGCACTGCTGGATTTGGATGGAGCACTGACGCTTGTTGGCGCTCTTCATCGTCGACGCCATTAACGGTCTGTGCTTTTCCAAGCATTCTGTCATCGCTTCGAAAATTTGCTGCCTCGTGCTCTTCCTCTTGCCGAAACCGTCGGGGCTATCCGTCGTCTGAGAAGAACCTTTAGTCGACCCGTCATCGTCGTCGTCGTGCCCTGCACCAGCGTCCCCATCGCCCACAGATTCAAGATCCATAGAAGAGGCAAAAGGCAGACGCACACCACCTGAAGCACCCGTGTCAACGACGTTCTTCGGGTGTATGGTGTGGTTCTTGGCGGTCGACCCCAGTATCTCGTCGTAAATCGCACAATCCATGTTCAAATTGAAGCCCTTGGACGTCCTCTCCTTCGCCGACCATTGGAAGAAGTTTCGTTTCTCGAACAAGCCATGAACTGCTACATCAAATTGTCCCACTTCTTCCCGCACTTATCTGCGTCTCTGTCGACACCCACCTTCTTCAACCTCTGCGCCACATCTAATCACTTCCATTCTCGTGGCTTGATCCGAACGTAGGCGTGACCCATCCCCTGGAGATGTGCATCTTGATCACGTTTAGCCCTGATGAGGGCTAAAATGTGGTTGACGGACCAGAAGTGTCGACCTCCTTCCGCATCACCGTCCCCGTCGGCATCGCTCCCCTTTACCGCCGCTTTTTTCCCTCGACGACCATTGCGGGCAGACGCCTTCGTCTTCACGCCCCTACCTCCCATGTTGTTTTGCCTGAACGGCGAAACGTAACCTTCGTCCTCCTCCCCACCTTCTCCGTCGTTGTCGTCGTCGTTGTGATCGTCCGCGTCCAGAACTGGTGCCTCCTTTTCCTATCCGTGCTCCCCCACACGCAGTCACTGCACCCCCTGAGTTATGGATTCTTCGCACCCCGACCGGAGCTCCCGTCGGTGTTCTGCCCACACCGCCCTCCCGTCCCGGTCGTCACCAATATTGGTGAAGCCAGAATCCATCTCCCCGCATTCGCCACGACGGTGGGCCGCACTCGAACCGGCAAACAGAGGAGACGAAGACTGCATCCACTGGGGTGAGCGGAGGCACTCGTCGACACAGACGGCAACCGGAATTGCTGCTGCGGAGGATCCTTGTTTTTCCCCGACGCCTCCCAAACCGGCGTTGGAGACTTCGATGATCGCACAACAGCCGTCACTTGCCTGTCGTCGTCATCGGGGTGGGGACACACGACGACCGTTCGCGAGGTGGCCGACGACCTCCCGCTACAGAGCTTGAACGACAGATTCACGCCGCCATCGCCTTCGTCTTCGGTGAGCCCCTGCTGGAGGAGTTCGGTGTAGGACTGCCGATACGCACCGTCGCGGCTTCCGCACAGCTCTGTAGCCGCCCACTCCTGGGTGGACCCACTTCCCAACGGCACGGTCTGTGACCATGTCTCATCCGCCTCCTCGTCGGACGTATCAGGCAGAGGTTGCAAGTGCGGTGGTACTTGAGCGTACCCAGACCGCTTCGACGACCTTGAACTCCTCAACGGGCTTTGCCCAGCCCGCTGGCCACCACCCTGCTCCCCTGCAGACCTGCAGATCGCCTGGCGCCCCTCCATCGTGACGTCCTTCTTCAAAGGGCGTCTTCTGCGTACACGTCGCGAAACGTTACCGAGGATGCACATGTGGAAGACGACTAAAACGAGGAGCAAGAGGACGACCAGCACCAGCAGCGGCAGCCTCCGAAAGACGTCGGCCATGGAAGGCACGTGGACGACGGCAGCAGCTAGAAAGACAACGGTGGACGTCCAGGACACGACGAGGAACAGTGGTGCAAACGACCGATCGCAGATATCGACAAACGAAGGGTAACGTATTCCGTCGTGGAAGACACTGCGCAATCGGGAGAGCGGGGGCCGGCTGAAGTATTCGAATCTGCCGACCATTGGGCGCCTTCCCGCTCGGGGCCAAGGGAACCGACGCAAGAGAGCCCCTTCGTGGAGGCCAGCAGGCCACGGCAACAGTGACCGTTGGCGGACAATTCCATGACACCGAACGTTGCCGACCGAAGATGTCCGTCAACAGGCCGCCAGGAACAGCAATGGACCAGCTGAGTTTGAAAATTGTCGTCGAGAGAGAGCTGCTGTCGACGCCCCGATTCTTCCGGATGCTCGACCTCCGAGGGACCTCGGGAGGCCCCTTGGGGAACGCGTTGAAATGGCTGTAGCACGAAGAATCCCCAAGGAATCCCCGGGGAAATGTTTTCAACTTTTTTTTCAATTTCTTCCCCGAGGTTAAGTGGAACGATGAATTCCTCGCGGGATTTACATGCCCGAGGAGTGTCTAACGAGCACCTCAATCGCTTATCTTACTTTGCGTTCTACCCCCTGTAAGAGTTTGTACATTTTGCGGAAAGGGACACTGGATCCATTTTCCAGCAGGTGCAGCTCCCCACCAACTGACATACCGCGAGGACGCTGGCCCGCAGCCCGTATTGTCACCGCAAATCTGGTAGCAGTGATGGGGTGCAGGACCGAGGCTTACAGACCCAAGTTCGAATCCAGAAACATGATGAGCAGGATAAAATGAGTGTGCAATACTTAGGGCCGCCCACTTATGATACCTCACAGCAGATCTAGTGGCGCAGCTCAATTCGTCAGGCATGCCACCTGCGGTAAAGAAACAAAAAAAGAGGAGGAAAACCAGGCGTACAGGGCCTCCCGGGAAGGAGGGCGCAAGATGCATTCCCTCTGATGGCTGAAGGGAGACAACAAAGCTAAGCTATATTCTTTTTTTTTTTTTTTTGCATTATATTCCAAATCACATTCGCATAGGAGGCCGGGGACCTCACAATCCAACCCGGAGTTATCCCGGCAGCATCAGCCGGTTATACGCTAGTCTTACAGACCTCACAATCCAACCCGGAGTTAGCTTCTGTGTTCCTACAGCAGAAACCATGTCTAGCCTATATTCGCATAGGAGGCCGGGGACCTCACAATCCAACCCGGAGTTAGCTTCTGTGTTCCTACAGCAGAAACCATGTCTAGCCTATATATGCTAACGAATTCTTCAGCCAGTCCTACAGACCTAACAAACTAGTCGTTAACAGTAGTCTAATTGAAGGATTTCAGAAAAGAGGGGGGTGAAAAACGGGAGGGTAGAACTAAGGTAGAGCTAAGCTATATTCGCCGGCGTCCCCTGTATAAGCTTTAAGGATGGTGGTAGGTAGGCCTCACTCCGCTGCACAAAACCACATGCATTTGTTATCTTTCTGACCCAGGTGCAAACGAGTCCAACATTATGAATGTATGGGGTCTAAATAGCATCCAAATGCATGCAGTCTGGGCCTCCCTCCACTACTAAGCAAACGTGCAAAATGAGAACGAATCTTTCGTTAGAACCAGGGAAGATNCTCCACTACTAAGCAAACGTGCAAAATGAGAACGAATCTTTCGTTAGAACCAGGGAAGATGCACCACCATATTTTTCGTCTGTTGCACCTGCTGTGAGCAGGGACGTTGCTCGCGTTCCGTCACGCGGGCTAGGTAACGGCCAGACACCAAAAAGAACCAAAAAAAACAACAATTTTGTTTATTTTTATTTTTTTGGAAACGTGAAATTGAGAGAAGAAGGTTCTGGCTGCTACGAAGTTCCCGTATGCCTACAGTTAGGAGTAGTGGTAGGTAGGTAGTGTGAGGTGAAATTGAGAGATGAATATAGCCTTAGGAAAAAAAAAAACAAAAAAAAAAACAAAACAAAAMAAAAAAAAAAAAAAMCGAGACGACCAACCACTATCCAGYGGCCTAACTCAGTTGGTAAGGCACACAACTGGCATTCAGGAGGCCTCATGTACCTTCCTGGGCATGCTTSGCTCCAGCCGTCCYAGAGATATAGACCACTGATCCCCCGATCGGCATTGAGCAGAGTCTGTTCGTGGGGGCGGGGACCCCCACCTGAGGGGAGGCACAGGGATTGGTCCTGTTGGCATGGTCCCTGATGCTGTAGTGGTAGGTAGGTAGTGCGAGGTGAAATTGAGAGGGGAACAAAAAAAAGAACAAATAAAACACTTTCAAAAACGGACCCGCCAGACCTACCTGCCCAAAGACCAGGGGCTAAGTCCCACCCACTAGCAGCGTTGAGTTTCCTCAACGCCTGAATATGGATGTGTTTGTCGAGATGTGCAGTTGAGGAAACTCAACACCGTTTCTGCACGTCTCCACAAACTCATCCACATTCAGGCGTTGATGTAACTCAAAGGCTGCTAGAGGGGGGGGGGAAACGGAGGAGAAAAAAAAAACAGACTCTCAGGACCAAACACACCATATTCAGAATGTCTCGGAACTTCTATGACGTCTATATACACCACAACACTTCTTCTACCCGACGATTCTACGGTGTGCAGAATCGTGCAAGAATCGTGCAAATCGGCCCATACAATACAGTTACAGTTACACAAAGAAATAAAGAAAAAAGAAAAAAAAATAAAGAAAAAAAAAACGAAAGCAGAAAGCAATGACAATGCTATGCTATCGACACTGGCCGGGGGAAGCCAACCACATGCACCTAAAACATACACCTTGTCAAGATAGCCCCCCCAAACCCAGATTAATGCACAGACCAGTCGGGGCATTGGAACAAAGAAAACATGGGCCACACCCTCGTCTTTTTGAGAGCAACCACATCCCAACCCGGTTTTGGGTCCTCTTCGACTTCGCCCACCCCTTCCAACTACCCTCCGACCCAACGGGCGACCGGTCTCTGCACAACGACCTTTCGTTCCTACGTCAAAACGACGAGGTATAGCGCAGCCTACGGGCTGCGAATTGATTGCAGCCATCACATCACAGCTGGGGTGATGTTCCACTCTTGGAGCTTGCAGCTTGCTCTTGTCACCTCCAATAGCTGGCCACCCACTGATGTTTCCCAGAAGACAGAAAGGAGGGAGGGGGAGGGGGGAAGGGAACAAATTGCCAGATACAAAGAATCCGGGCAGGTGGGACCTTGCTGGGGTGAAGCAGTGCTGCTATATAGTAGACAGGTGGAACCCTCGCATCTTGAAAAAACAGGTCCTTGATGCAGATTCTTTTTATTCTTCTTTTTGCCCCCTTCATGCAGATTTCTCGGCCCGGTGAAAGCCAATTTTGTATTGAGCTGCTCAAGAGGCCAAAGGATAAGGTGCCACATCCCCTTTTTGCGGCCCGTTGAACGCCGCTCTGTGTAATTGGAGGTAGGTCCGGTAGGATTAAGACCCAGTCAGATCTTGTTGGTTCAGATAATGGCTGGATGAAGATCATCGCCAAGTGCCTAGCGATGTACCACGACCCTACCGACTTCACCCGAATAGAATGCCCCGTCATTATAACTATATACCTACACTGGAAGTCAGTGAAGTCGGCCCAAATACAGCTATAATGACCCGGCGGTCCATTCAAGGGACGACGGTAGCCTTGTGTGTAAGCCCGTATACATGCCCAATGTATTTCGTCTATGTTCAAACATCGACGGGTTCCAGAACAGTATGGGTCCTTTGGGACATTCTCTGGGACATCCTTGGGGACATCCTTTCGGAAAATCGTTACAGAGAGGAACGCTACAGAGAGGATTGCATAGTCAAAAAACAAGACGAAGAACAAATGCACGTATAGCCATGGCGCAAGTTGATGCCAATCCGGCTATTGGTAAGATGCCATTCCAATTCGAAAATATATATATATATAGAGAGAGAGAGAGAGAGACGGAGGGAGGAAGAGGGATGGAGGGAGAGAGAAGGGGGCAAGGGGAAGGGGGAAGGGAGAACCAGAAGAAGGGTGCTACGTCCGGCTATTGGTAAGATGCCATTCCTATTCGAAATAAGAGAGAGAGAGAGAGAGAGAGAGAGAGAGAGAGAGAGAGAGAGAGAGAGAGAGGGGGGGGGAGAGGGGCGAGAGAAGAAGGGAAAAGAAACGGGGGGGAGAAAAAAGGAAACCAAAGAGAAAACGAAGGGGAAAACACTTAAAAGGGACAAAACAAAAAGAAAACAAAGGCTCCTCCCTCTCCAACCCTGACAACAACGGATCTTGATTTTGTATTGTATTATATCCTCAAGATCTCAACTTTTGTCCTTTCCTGCAATTCTTTGGACGAGACCGAAGGATACCCCTCGGGGTAAATCTCTATCCTTGCGAAAGTGCCACCAAACCTTCCCTTGACAAGACGGCCAGGATTAATACATATCAATTTGACCTCTGATGGGTACTCCTCCTCCTCCTCCTCCCTCTCTCTCTCCCTCCCTTGATTATCCATATTGCCGCCATTGTTATCGCCGCCTTTAGCGACAAGAAGTACGCCTCCATCTCCCTGCTCGGCACCCACCTTCACCTCTCTCTTTGCCTCTTCTCCCTGGCTACTGATACTGCTGCTGCTGCCTGCGATTCTTCTTATTAGTCCACTAACATTAGAAGATGATGATGATGTCTGATGGGCCAGTGCTTCCCCGCCACTGGTCGTCGTTGTGGTCCTGATCGCCGTGGATTTTTCGTCCGATTTCGAATCCTGTCCGTTGCGCTGATCAACGCTGCTTCCGGCCTGATTAGGGCCCGCTGATGAGAGGACACGTGGCACGGCACACGTCAAAATCTTCGCGAAGTGCAGCAAATCCGACGGTAGTATCAGAATGTCTGGTGTGAACGCCAGTTCCAGTGCCTCTGGGGCCATCGTCATGTCCATCACAGATCCTAGCGCGGGCGGGAATAACGGGTAGAAGCTCCGCTGTCCGATGATGTGCGTTGCCAGCCTGGCCATTCGGTCCGACGTGTCGCCCTCTCTGATGCGCGACGCTTCCTCTCCACTCAGATGCCGCAGAATGTCGTGCGTCCCGATCCCGATCGTCACGTCGTCACAGACCACAATGCCTGGATTGGATAGGAAGGTGATCTGGCGGTCGGGATCTTCGAAGTCGTCGGACGAGAAGGGCGGCTGCGGAAACACGACGTCGTGATGAGCGTCTCGCGTGGATGGCACCAGCGCCACGTGCGCGTTCTCCCCCATCTTATCGCAGTACCGCTCGACACGTGTTCGAAGCTCTCTCTGGAACACGTGCTCGAAAAGCATATCCACTTCTCCCGCCTTGATCGATGGGTGGTCGGAGTCGACGAACGGTCCCGACAAGAGGAGTAGGTTGGGCCTGGTCTGGATCGCGTACTCGAGAAGGTCATCCAACGGTTCATAGAGCAAGTTGTCCGACGTGGAGAAGGGTCCCGACGCGACGACGATCGAGATCGGCTGCTGCGACGATGACGTCAACAGCAGCTTCTTCTTGTCGTTAGCGCCGACGGTGACGTTCTGTCCTTCTTGACGCCTCCTACTACGAGAAGATGCCGATCCCAATCCCGATCCCGATCCCCTCCTCACGCTGATCATGCTACTACTAGCCATCATCGCCCCCTCTTCGCTGGGGCTGGGGTGATGATGATGATGACGATGATGATGATAATGATGAGGATGGCCTCCACGTGGCGGCAGCAAAGAGGAGTGATGAGAGTAGTGGCCATTCCCATTCGTGTCGTTTCCGCCACTGGTACCATCATGACTCCCACTCCTCCCTTCCCCCGTCGTCGTCCTTCTCCTCCTCCCCGTCTCTCCCTCTAGCGTTCCCGACAATTCCGCTTCGTCCCGATCGGGACCAGGAGTCCACGTCAGCGGGGGCAGGGATTGAATTATGCGGGAGGCCACCAAGCAATGCCCACTCGGATTGCGACCCTCGATCCCGACGATCTGACCCGGGAAGATGGAGAAGCTGTCAATCTCCCGTAGATCAACCTTCACTCTGTGGCCGTTCGATTGCTCGGAATCGCCGTTGCCCTCAAGAAGGACCGAGCGGGGGTTCAACCTCCCTTCTCCATCGCAGCAAATCCGACCGACATAGAGACCAGGTTCCTGCGAGGCACGGAACACTCTCTCGGGAATGCCGAATCCGAGAAGTTGAAGATCCTCTGCAAATTTTCTGACCCGTCCGTCCAGAGCCTCGATCCTGTTATCTATGGAATCAAACATGTATCGAGATTGTCCATCGACTGAGGGACCGACCGCCTCCACGGTACACGGATGGAGAGTTCCCATCGCCATCGCCGGATCTTTCGTTCTTCTTCTTCTCCTGACAACTCCATCGTCTTTCTCCTCTTCCTGCTCCTCCTCCTTCATGGGATCATCACCATCCTTTCTCTCCTTACTTGATGGCCTCAGATGCTCATTAAGCGCAATCGCGACAGAGAGTCTATTCTGTCTCTTGCTGAAAGGGGTTGCAGGCGTTCGAGGTGGTAGAGTAACACCTCCTCCTCCTCCTCCTCCTCCTCCCAAGGCGAAAACCCCATCAAGTGCTCTCTTAGCAGGTATCAGCTTGGCCGTGGACGATCCCGGCGTGCTCAACACCACACTGGTACTTCCTGTTGGTGTCCCATCTTTCCCCATCGGAGCTGTCATGAGTACATTTGCACCACCTCCACCTCCCTCCATACTCGCCTCAGGGATGTCCGTCTCCATCTTCGATACAGGAGTCATCGCCGCCGCGCCATTCCTGAGCTCCCCTGTGTCCCAGATATCGTCGATGTCAGGTTTAGCGAACACGTGGAACTCTTTGGCTCGTTTGCGCTCCCGCGCTTTTCGCTCACTTTCCAAAAATGGCTTAAAACTCTCCACATGTTCGTTCTTGACCACGTTCGTGTCTAGTTGCCTGTTTAGGTAAAATAGCTCCCATGTGGCTGCTAGATCCTTGGCATCAAATCCGACTCTCAACCCGAGCGCTGTAATCTCGCTTGCAGTCGGCCGATCTTGGAACTCGAAATTGCGCGAGGCGAACTCGGCCGTCACTTCAGCAATGCTCGCCCCCCGCGACATGGCTTTTTTATTTCCCTTTTCTTTTCTTTTTCCTTTTTTTTTTTCCTTCGGGTAGTTTTCTTTTGTTTTTTCAAGAAAACAATCCCTCTTCTTCTTCGCCTTCGGCCGTTCAAAACTTGCTGCTGACGTGGACCCACCACCTACCCTTCGGCGATGCAGAGGCAGAGCTTGATCCGATCGATGTCGGTTACCAGTCCGTTCTGGTCATGAAAGTAACCCAAGTAGTTAAGCCGCTGAAGGACAACATACAGCCGCAGACAAGATTACAGAGTAAGCAAATTTGCTCAAATACCAGCACCTGTAAGCTCAGGCGGGATGCTTTTTTTGCCCAAAAAAAAAAAAAGACGAGATTAAAGAGTTAGCAAATTTGCGCAAATACCAGCACCTCTAAAGCTCAGGAGGGATGTTTTTGCGCCCCCCCCCCCCCCCCCAAAAAAAAAAAAAAGAAAAAAAAAAAAGAGCTCAAATAAAGGTTTGGATCTTCATCTTGATTGAAAACTTGCAGGAGATAAGAATAGATTGGCGACTGAGATAACGGTTTTCGTGTCTCCATTAATTAGTTTATGACAATATATATATATTTTTAATCGTTAATCAAATCATCTTAAACCACCATGCGAAATCTCGGTTACGCAGAATGCTGCTACGCGGGAATTGAGGAGTTTGAAAGATGTCTCTCTAGGTAACACCACCATCAACTCTTCTTACCCACCAAACTCCCGCGAATTAATCACCCGCCATCGCCTTTTCCCGCCATTGAACCTTCCGTCCAAACTCAGCTCTTCCACCGAAGGTAGAAAGCTACCGTCTTCCCCCGAACACAAAGTCATTATCAGGGTGCGTTTGGTGTTCGCGGGACGACGGTCTGAACGCCATCAACAATTTACCCGCCATCGCTTTTCCCGCCATTGAACCTTCCATCCAAACTCAGCTCTTCCACCAAAGGTAGAAAACTAGTAACACCCTCAAAACATACCCGCCATCGCCCTTTTTCCCGCCATTCAAGCCTTCCATCCAAACTCAGTAACCATCAACAATTTACCCACCATCGCCTTTTCCCGCCATTGAACCTTTCATCCAAACTCAGCTCTTCCACCAAAGGTAGAAAGCTAGTAAACACCATTAACAACTTACCCGCCATCGCATTTTTTCCCGCCGCTAAACCCTCCATCCAAACACAGCTTCCACCAACGGCAGATGCAAGAAAACCCATCAAACACTTACAGAGCGGTCTCGCGCTCTGAAGTGAGCTTTGGAGCAGAGTTCCCGAATAATGAACATCATACCGTCAAAACCCCACCCCACTGCGTTGACGCCACCCCACTGCGCACACAGTGCTCAACCATCTAAGACGTCGGAAACAGCCATGACAGGACGAGGACGGGGAAGGGGGGAGTCTTTTCTTTTCTTTTCTTTTCTTTTCTTTTCTTTTCTTTTTTTTCTTTTCTTTTCTTTTCTTTTCTTTTTTTTCTTTTCTTTTCTTTTCTTTTCTTTTTTTTCTTTTCTTTTCTTTTTTTTCTTGGAGGGGGAAAGAATTGTCATATCATCAAACTTATTGATGACAACAGAAGGGAAAAAATGGAGCGATCGATAGATTCTCTACCTTAAAGTGGGCGACAGACGATGATGATGACGATGATGATGATGATGATGATGATGATGAAGAGGCGGCAGAAGCCGATGCCGGTGGAGAGGAAACACCCAACGATGTCGAAGGATCACCTGCTCGCTTTGTTTCACGAAGCGCAGACTGTTTCACTGGAAGGTCGACGCGTACCGAACCTCTCTTCAGGACCCGCACTCACAGAATCTTACACTGACCCTCCTGCTCTCTCTTGCAACCCTTTCCCCAATTGGCCCATAGGCGCCCTCTCACTCCCTTTCCCTTCTGCCGGCCTTGTGTACCTGTACCTACCAATCGTTCAATCCCTCGGCAAATCTCTCCATCCCTAACACCCAACAAGTTACCCAAGCAAAGCCAACCTCAACTTTACTTTTACAGAGCGAAATTCCAGAGGAGGGGGGGCGGGGGGGGTAGGACTGTGCAACCCTGCTCTCCCCCCTCCTGTGGTAATCTTCCGTAGCTGCGGATGAACGAGGACGGAATAGATAGGTCCCGTTCAGTGTGCAAGCTGATTCGCTCCTCATCTTCACAAGATGATTCTCTCTCTCTCTCTCTCTCTCTCTCTCTCTCTCTCTCTCTCTCTCTCTCTCTCTCGCTCGCTCGCTCGCTCTCTCTCTCGCTCGCTTGCTCGCAGCACCATCCGCAAAAGACAGCCGCGACACACCTTCACTTTCCCTCACCGCTTCGGTGCAAGCTCGTTCCTTGAAAACGCCCGATCGAATAGCTCCGTAGGGGCAGGGGAGCGGGAGGGGGAGGGGGAGGGGCGGGCGGGGGGAACTGCGGAAACGGCCCTCTCGGGTTTGGAAATTCAAACGCTGGCTCGTCTCGAGGGGCCTAGGCTCAGTTGGTTAGCCACGCAAGTGACATTCAGGAGGTCGTGGGCTCAATCCCCACTGACGGCCAGGGCACTCTTGGCGCCAACAACTGAGAAAATTGGCTTGCTCCCAAAATTAAAAAAGACATATACAAGTGAAAAATGTGACTTTCAATTTCGGACCTCAAAACCCAGCTGCGGTGAGTATTGGTAGGGTCCTTGGCCATCACGGGTGTAATGTGTGTGTGTGTGTCTGGATTATTTGTGCTGTGTGGGAGAGTGCTGGCCATAGACACTGCTGTTACTCGATGGGGGCAGGGAGTTCAGAGGCGCAGCTACAGGCAAAATGCTCCGTCTTTGTGTGCCCCCCCCCCCCCTTTGCTGGGCAGTCCCACCCTACTCCCTCACAATCACCTATGAGGGCCGGGGCCAGCAGGCATCCCCTTGGTTGTGCAAGGTAGCCATGCTTGCAGGGGTCCCATGTATAGGCTTAGGAGTAGTGGTAGGTAGGTGGTGGAAGGTGAAATTGAGAGAAGAACATAACTTAGTTTTAGGAGGAAAAGCAATGGGAGTACACATGCTTCTGAACACAGTAATTGAAAATCTCAATACATACATTCACGGCCAGCATGCATCCTCTTGATTGGGCCATGCTTGAAGGGGTTCCATGTATAGGCTTAGGAGTCGTGGTCGGTAGGCAGTGAAATGTGACATTGGAAGAAGAATATAGCATAGTTTCAGAGAGAAAGTCAATGGGCGTACACTTGCTTCTGAACAAGGTGATTGAAAATCTCAATACATACATTCATGTTCTCTGAAACTCAGGATGCGCACATGCCTCGACGACTACACACCAGACATCCCTGCTTGGGATGATGATATAGTCTGAACTTCGTGGCGACGTGGCTGCGCTGCAGTCAATGCCGCCGGCCCTCGGGAGGCTTAGGAGTCGTGGTTTACATGACTTCAAGCAAATAAAGCAGCTACTCTGCTGAGGGGCCCATGGGAGCCTTTGCCAAACGGAATCCTTGTCCCCTTGTGGCTTACCACCAAACACCTCATTCATCTGGGGAGAAGGATTCCGTATGGCAAAGGCTCCTATGGGCCCCTCAGCAGAGTAGCTGCTTTATTTGCTTGAAGTCATGAAAAACCAAAAATCATTTCGCAATCAATAAATTAAATTTAAAAAAAAATGAATTCGCAAACATGATGTGGGCCATCTGAAAATCATTTCAATCATGGTACGTACAAAGTGTTGGGCCCGGTTCCCAGCACGTGCTGCTCCCCACAAATAGATTGGAGCATTTGTCCAACAAAAAAAAAAAATCAGTGTCATGCTTGAATTTTGTGGGGAACCAAAAAGAAATTGGGAATACCTTCAACTTTTTCGTGTGTTGGCACGAAGTGTGGTGTCAAAGTCTCAATGGTGTTTTTTTTTAGTAGCATCAAAGAAAACACAAAATTTGGCTATATGTCGAAACCTCTGAGTGATACGAGCAACATAATGAATGTGTTGGTATGAGCAATCAGCAGGGAAGTCATGCATGGCTAGACAGGTGATTTGGGCCATTGTGGAAGGGTCGTTTATTGCGTGGAGGCAATTGGCTGAATATGTTTTTTGTTCCTCGTGGGACTGGTGACATTTAAACCGCCAGTACCTTTCCCAGCTATCGGCCGCGGGCCCTGCGAGCCGAGTTTTGGTGGCGCATCTGGCCACCATCGGAGGCCGACGTCCATGTTAACCGTCGTGATTCGGCAAAATGCCTGAGAAAGGTATTGGTGGTTTAAAATGTGTATGGCTTGTTGTGCTAGTTCCACCATACTCACGCAAAATCTACCCAATGGCATTTGAGCGGGGATTTTGAAGGCCTGAAAAATATGTTGCATGCGCCTGAAAACTCCGCCCTTGACAATTGAGCGTCGGTTAACCCGACGATTATTTGTTCCCATGTATATTGTTATCAGAGGGAATCCCCTTCCTATAATGATTTATGCATCCAACCATAATACGAAGGAGATCAAAGCTCTTATGGACAAATTCTCTACATTATCTAATATGGTGGTCAACTGGGGTAACAAAACAGAAGGTTGGTGGATTCATTTTAGAGGAGATAGACCCGCATAAATTACACGAATCAGATGACTACCCTTTGAGGCACCCATCAAAGTCATAGGAGTGATAATCAAAGCTCAAGAAAAATCAAACACTAATAATGTTTCCACTCCGGTATTATAAAATATGAACCAGTGGAAAAATCAACATTCCTTTTTTGGTAGGGCATTAATTATAAACAATGTGGTGTTGACTTCTATATGGTACCAGTCTATCATGTGGTCATTATACAATAACCCAATTAAAAATCTTAAACATCAACTTAATGCTTACTTATGGAAAGGTAATCATGATGTTCAAAATATAATACCAAGAGTAGCCTAGGATACGCTTATCCAACCAAAAGTCAAGGGGGAACTTGGAGTTTTTTATCCAATAATTCAATGTCAGACATTGAATATCCAATGGATTAAACATCTAACTTTTAAGACGAAACTTCCATGGAACAGATTGACACCGGAACAAATTATAAGGTTAGCCCCCTCCTCCACTGAGAGATATTCATCCTCTCACATGGGTGGAGGATCCTTTTTTTACCATACCCAAACCGAATGTTCAATCAAGGCATCCATAAGAAAAAACGGTTATAGTTAAAGATCTAACCCTCGACAATTTTTTATCATAATTATTGAA